GTGTTGGAAAATTTGAGATCACGGGGTTATTATACAGTTGATCGGAGAATTGGTACTGATCTTAATCATTCGCGACTAGTAATACAAGCTATAGCTAAATTTCATTCTACTGGAATCGCGATGAAACATAAAAACGCAGAAGAGTTTGAAATTATAAAGAATTTATCTTCAGAAATGAAGGTCAAGTATCCTGAAGATTGGAGCAGTGTCATCGAAAATATTTTCAAGCTGATTGCCAGTGATGTACAAATGAATCAATTCTTAGATTCGTGTGTTAAATTAGCGGAGTTAATTAGATCGAATCCTCAGGCAGAAATTCCGGTTGAACCGTGGTCAACAATTATTCATGGAGATTTTTTAATTATGAATTTATTATTCCGACGATCAAACAATTTGAAAGACTCCGCAAATATCAAATTCATAGATTTTCAAAACTACATGTTTCTCAATCCTTTACGTGAACTCATATTTTTCCTTTGCACCAGTACTGATCAAGAAGTTATGAATTATCACTTCGATGAGCTTGTAGATCTATACTATGAAACTCTTAAAAACAGACTTGAGTTATTCAATTTCGATAGTGATTCATACTCGCGAGAAAGCTTTCATAAAGAATTAGTTCAGAACGCTCAATTGGAATTTTTACATTGTGTTGTAGTGCTCCAAATACTGACTATGAATTTTGAGAAAAATGATGAGGATGTGGAAAACCTTACACTTCTTCTGAAGAATTCAAAAATACAAGAAAATGAAATTTTCCTTGAAAAATTGAGAAATCTTACTAGCTTTTATCATCAACGTGGGTGGTACAACTGAAAAACTTGACTTTGAATTCTGATAAATATTGATAGTACAAAGTTGAGATAAAATAAATGTAAAAAATGAAATAAATTATGTGAATTTTAAATTTTTAATCACTAACCTCTTACTAAATTATCTTATGCCATCACTAAATTCGCTGTTTCTTTTTGGTACTACATTAAAATACCGAAATACTATACTATACTTAATAAAATTCCCTATAATACTATACATTCAGCGATACAGTCCTTATATGTTGAAAATTACTGAACTTCACATTTCATTATTCGTCGGTATTACATATTATTAGACTCATTAGTCACAATTTTGACTTTTTTTATGTAATAACCTATTATGTATTATTTTTGCTCTTTTTCTCTTTTTGAGTGAAAGGCTGAACTCTGAGAAATACTCATTCACGGCTTTATTACCTGTAATAACGATAACACTTTCCCCTTTACATCTAGTTTTTCTTTTTCCAGATTTATTACTGGAATAGTTTTATCTGTTGTTATGACAGAAATGATTTTTTCCTTTGTACACAAATAAAAAAATTTATGAATATAGACATGTATAGACATAAAAAATTAATAAAAATGTAAACTAGTAAGTACTATATCTGGGAGGAATAAATTCTTCATCAACTTGAAAACTTTTTCAACCATCTTTTCATAAATAAAATCAAATAAACCACTTTGTCCTGAAAAAAGATGTAAAATTAAAATTAAATTGCAACTCGTGCAGTTTGTTCGAAATTTTACTAGAGCTTGTGAAAGTACTCGAGGGCTAAGAACTCGAGGGCTCAATTTCCCTGACATAGCGTAAATTACCGTCTCTATTACATTATTGGCATGATCAAGATACTGAGAAAAGTACTCTCTTATATAGATGCTCCATTCACTTAGGTAATTAAAATATACCACAGATGATGGATTGGTTTGATTTAAGAATTTAGCAATATTCTTTACTAATTTATTATACCTATCTTGAGTTTTAAATAAGCGTACCTGTTCAAAGAATAGTTCAGCATCAATGATTTGACTGTACCTATAAATGTGAGTATGTATTTTTAATATTGTTGGAAAAATGTTACTTAAATCCATAATATATCTATGGAATACGGCTTCCTTATCAGAACTTATGGGTATCTCTTGTTTATTATCTGCATGTAATAATCGATTCAACTCAGTTAATTTTAAATCTTTTTGTTGGTCTTTTAAATTCAAGATATGATGGAAATTCCGAGATAGAATTTCTCCATTTTGAAAATATTTTAAAAGAAGTAAAAGAGACTTTATAAAAAAATAAAAAAAAATTTAATCGTGTTTTTGTAATAATTGATCATCTATTGTAGTTTCATCATTAGAATATGTAAATTGTGTAGTGGCAGGACATGTGGGAGGGATAATGATAGGTTCATTGATAATACTATGAGGTAAATAAGGATAGAGTCGTTCTCTATGTTCAGAGTTTTTACTATCATCCCTACGTATTTTAGTTTCAGTTTCAGGTTGGTCTTCGCTATTGAAACGGAGATGTAATAAAAGGTTTGTTACAGAATCCCAAAATGCATCGATTAACCAAATACTCCATCCGTATATTGCATGTAATGCGTAACCGTGAATTAAGGTATCTAAAACAAACTTATTTATAGGGTGTAAAATGCTGAAAGAGCGGAAAAACTAAGGATCAGGTTTCGGCCTGGTTATCTCAATTAAAATACGTAAATTATTATCACAATTAACACTAGGAATTTATTAACAATAAATACACTTAATATTTAATATATTCAATAGCGGATTGTTTAAATAAAAGCGGATTTATAAAGCACAGCGTGGTTAGCAAAAGCGAAGCCGGTTGACACGTGGTTGAACACTCTGCCGGCACTGTAAAAGCGGTGAAATAAATGCACAAATAACACAATTTATCTGTAACAAACTAAAACGAATTATTAGCAATTAATTTAAGCAAGTTAAATTATTAAATTAGCGAAATGCGGTTAATTAACAATAAGCGAAATAAAATAGCGGGAAAGCGAAGCGTTAGACTCAATGGCGGTGTAACGAAAGATAATAATAATAGTTCGTCTTCTTTCTCGTTGACTTGGGGAAGAAAGTTATTGCGCATGTCCAGCGTGAGCGATCATCCAATCAATAAATTCGTTCTATTGATGTCGACATCGATAGCCAATAGTAAAATTCGATACATGTGGCGTGATCGAGAAGTCGGTTTGCGCAAGCGGGTGAGATTTTGCGGGAACGAGCGCTTTCCAGGTGCGTGTTGTATATTTGGGGAGCCCACAGTGACGTATTGCTCACTGAGTGGGCCTGTTCACTGAACATAGGGTATTATTGATTTTTATAGTTGTATTGTTAGTTTGAGTATTTACTTGTGCAGAGTCGCTATGTGGTTCAATTCTTTTAGTAGAATGATATGGTATTTGACGCAATCGTCTAGCAATAATCCTACGTGCTAGTCTATTTTTCATTTACGATTTATATATAAATGTTAAATTCTCGTATTTAATCGTCTTTTGGAAAGACAATTAAAGTTGATTCTCGAAAGTCGATTCTCTTTCCTTCTATTGATAAGAGATAGTTAGAGAATTCTCAATCTAATGAAAACCAATGATAACGCAATTTATTATTGCTATTATTATTGGTTCCAACAAGTATCTTAATTTTCGGAAAAATAAGGTTAATAATTATCTTATTGAATCTTCATCAGACATCCAAAATGTATGCAATATCTTTTTATTTAGATCTCTCAAATTTTCATTGGACGATTTGAGGTTAACCGTTCAATCAGCTTAAACGAAGCTGTTGACAATCCTTTTCAAAATCGTTCACAACTTTTCAAAGCGTCAATGACTCTTTCCAAAATTGTTAATGATCTTTTTCAAAATCATCAATAATCCTTTCCAAAATCTTAGTGATCCTTTTCAAAATTGTTAATGATGTTACGTCCAGAGTGACGCCAACACAATAATTACATTTATTAGGTTCCGAATTTTAGAACTAGCTACTGAAAGCCTATGTTCAGGGTGGCGGGAACCTCGCCAATGAATAATTTAATTGAGTATGTAGGAAAAGCAAAGAAAATGGCCGATAAACAATAGGTCGCAATTAGTTCATTAATACATATAAATCACTCTCTTGTTAATATCAATCAGACCAAATAGTAAAGAAAAAGAAATATAAAATAACATGAACAATAATTTATACCTGATAATGACAAGAGAGGTGTTATGAAATGCTGACTGACCGCTGGCTCGTGCTGGGCTGGTGCAGGTAGAAGAGAAAGAAAAAAGGTAATGCCGGATATAAATGACTCGTAAACTAGGAAAATTCGTTTTTACTAACTTATTTATTCGATTATTTTATTTGAATGATATAATATTATAATTGAACAATATTGTAACTGACTGGAAGTATTAAGTACTTTGGCAAAGTTATAATCTTTATTTATAATGGATTCGAAATATGAATGCACGTACTGGAAAAACTATGGAATATCGAGCGTAATTGACTACTCGGGCACGAGGAACACTAGTGAGGATCTTTTTGAATAACGGGAGTTTTTAAGGGATGATCAATTTTCCCCTCTTCTGGAATTTTCTATTCAATATAGGCTGGGGGCGATTTTACTTTGCATGAAGTATGTGTGGTAGCTCTAGTCATAGACTTAAGGAAAAGGAACCAATTAAACGAGGGCCCTTGAAGAAATGTGTGGGGAGGGGCCTTCTAGGCGGTAATTTTCCTTATTTTTTAAGATAAAGAAATATTTCGATATTACGGAAATGATCGACACGAATTTACAATATTATTTATTCCAATGAACGAATTAATCGTTAGTTATTGAAGGACTTTTATAATAATTTGTGGAAAATAGGAAGGATTGCTATTCTAGTAATAATATAACACTTTGATTATATATACGTCTATATGTAGTTGCAGCTTTATTATGTCTTGTACACAGAACTTCTAGATGTACGTGTGATCGGTACAGAGCTATAGTCAAGAGTGAGTATGTCACAATGTAAGAGACTACTCTAGAGGCCTGGTAATTACTTTAAACGTCTAATAGATGGTGCCTCATGTATGAGCAAAGTAAACTATTTCTGACACTCCCTCCCTTTGCACATACATCTTTTAAATATAATGAATAACATATAATTTCAAAATTACATCTAAAATCGATTAACGATCATGAACACATCTAATATTAAATATTAATGAAAAGTAAAGTTCCAATTAAGAACATGGTCCTTGAACTCCTTTGGTTTTCTCCGCTGCGCACTCTGCTAAGACTGAATATTAAATTCTGTAAAATATTAATTAATTATATGATTAAACTTATTAGTTTAAATCTTCTATATAACATCTATATTTAACATCTAAAATTCAATATCTATGTGTAACATCTAAATTCAACATCTATATTTAACATCTATATCATTTAAAATTTTATCATCTAAAAATTCATCATTTTATTTCTGAGTTTGATATGTGATGTAGAGGGTAAAGGTTTAGTCATAATATCCGCAATATTTTCTTTAGTGGATATCCATTTGACCTTTATTTTGCCCGCCAAGACACATGATTTAACAAAATCACCATGAGTTTCAGCCATTTGAGGTTTCTTGCCTGTTCTTTCTCTTTCAGCCAAATTGGATTTGATAAGCTCAACGTCATCATCAAAATCTTTCAATTTGTGACTTCCCTCCATTTGAGTACAGTCACATGCTGATTTATTATCACATCTAATAGTGACTGGATACATAGTTTTACCTATTATATCTCTAGTCGCTTTATCCAAGGAGATTATTTCCTTACAAGATTCGCTCATGGCAAGATATTCTGCTTGACAAGTTGATGTAGCAGGAGAGGACTGTTTGTGGCTTCTCCAGGCTACTGTATCACCGTACACTTGGATAATGTAACCACTTGTCGAAGTCGAGTTTTCACGATCTCTGAAGCTAGTGTCAGTCATAGCTTCCATAATTTCGGTTTTACCTCTATAGTACAAACCTAAATCAGTTGTTCCTCTAAGATATCTGAAAATTCTTTTGACTTCAGTCCAATCTCCTTTGGTTGGATTATTCTGTCTTCTAGACAATAAATTTACAGCATATGCTATGTCTGGTCTGGTTGCACCAGCAAGATACAACAGACTCCCTATAGCCTCTCAATAAGGTGCACTAGCTGGAACATTGGAATCATCTAATTTTCCTATGTTTTTATTGTTTCTATTTTTGACTTGTCTAGTTATCATGGGTGTGTCTTGAGCATTACATTCTTTCAGATCGAAACGTTCTAGGATCTTTTCAGTGTACTCAGGCTGTGTAATAGACATTTCACGTTTACTTCTATCACGGTGAATTTTCATTCCAAGAAAATTCTCCGGTTCTCCCAAAATTTTCATTTCGAAAACCTTACTGAAATGATTTATAATTTCATCTAATTTTTCGGGTACATCGCTAGCTGCAATCATATCATCTACGTATAGGATTACGATGGCAATTTTTCCATCTTTTCTCCAAGTAAATAAGCATGGCTCGTTTAGATCATTCTCCAAACCTAGCTTCAGTGCTTCTTCAGTGAACTTTTTGTTCCATCTCTTAGGACTGATCCTCAATCCATAAAGAGATTTTTCAAGCTTCCAGACCATCTTTTCTCTGATTTCATCACTGCAATCATAGCCTTCTGGAATCTCCATAAAAATTGCTTTTTCCAGAGTCCCATACAGAAAGGCAGTTTTTACATCCATTTGTCTTGCGTCTAAATCAAGTTTATTTATGATTGCTAGTGCTAATCTGATTACTGGAAGTCTTGAAACTGGAGCATAGGTTTCTTTCAGCTCATACTCGTTTACATCTAGAAAACCTCTTACAACCACTCTAGCTTTATAGATGGTTTCTCCAGTTTTGCCAATTTTGGTTTTAAAAACCCATCTAGAGTTCACTACATTAGCATCTACAGGTCTTTTTACTAGATTGTAGACTTTGTTATCATCTATTGATTTTAATTCTTCTTTAACTGCTTTTATCCAATCAACACAGTCTTCCCGCAGTAAACACTCTTTGTAATTACCGGGATCCTTGTTGATAGAAGAAAGCATAGCATGTATAAAATCTTCTTCATCTACAACCGTGAACCTTTTTATTGTTTTGGCATAAACGAAGTTATCATCTATCTTGGGTTTTGGTTTTCTTTTTGAAGCTCTCAACTTCTTAAATTTTGTATCAGTTGATACATTTTCATCTAATTTACGCTTTTTAGATTTGTCTGAATTAACTAGTTTATCTTTAGAGTCTTTTGTTACAGGAGTATTTGCATCAGAAGATTCAGAATCTATTTTCCCATCAATTGAATTATCATCTACTTCTACATCTTTTTGTTTTTCAATTATTGGAGAATCTTCAACTTCTAAATCTTTTGTTTTGTAAATATCCTTATAAACTAGTTTTTCATTAAATCTGACATGTCTTGAATTTAAGAATTTTCCAGAGGTCGGCTCCCACAATACATAACCAGTACGTGAGTAACCTACCAGTATGGATCTTATTGCTCTTTCAGAAAATTTATTTTCTGATACTGGAAGTTTAACATAAGCTAAACATCCAAACCTTCTAATTTTATTCATATGTGTGCTAATCTTTTCATTGAGTTTATTTAATGGTGATACAAAACCATTGGTTTTGTGAGGTGTTCGATTGTACATATTAACAGCTGTTTCAGCTGCCAATATCCACATCGATTTAGGTAGGCCAGAGTCAAACAATAACGCTCTAATTTTCTGTTGTATTGTTTTATTAAATCTCTCGGCTGTACCATTTAACTCTGGAGTATACGGTGGTGCATAATCTGATTCTATTTTTTCTTTATGCATAACATCTACAAAATCACCTCCCGTAAACTCCCTAGCATTATCAGTTCTGATATAGCACACTTTTTCATTTTTACCTAATAAATTTCTAGTTGTATTTATGAAGCTTTCTAAACAACTAGCAGCTTCATTTTTATTTTTAATAGAATAAATCTTTGCAAATCTAGAAAAATCATCTAAAAACACAATAATGTATTTGTAAGCACCTGGGAACGAATTTATTTTAAATTGTCCCATAGTGTCCACATGAATTGTGTGTAACGGTCTATCCGCTATTAATCTAGATTCTTTAAAGGGTAATTTTTCCATCTTAACTAGAATACAGGTTTCACAATCTAAAATATTTTCTTTAAAGTTTACATTACACAACGACTGCTCAGATTTTTTAAGTTCTTTTAGATAATTCAAGCTTGGATGACCTAGTCTTATGTGCCATAACATACCTTCATCTATTTTTATTATTTTTAATTGTTGTATATTATTTTCAGCACTTTTAATATTATTAAATTCTTCTAGAGCATCAGCTGAATTAAAATTTAAAATTCTTCTATTTAAGGTTTGTTCATCTAATAAAAAATCTGTGATTTCTGCTTCTATATTACTACTATTTTTCTCCAAAAGACTTTTCTTCTGACTCTCCCTCCCAAGCTCAGATGATGTTGATTTATGAGAGAAAACATCTAAATCTCCCTCCATCTTTTGCAAATTTAAATCAACAGGTACCGTCTGAGATTGTTCGGAAGATTCATTTGGAGAAATAATTTCAGCAGTACAAGAGTACGTTGTGTAATCTGGCCTATTAACCTCCTCAGCATGTTTTACCTCGAAGGTAACAAGCCAGTTAGGTTTAACATATTTTCCTGTTAAACATGTTTCACCTGTTTCTTTATCGAATATTTCTAATTTTTTATCATCTAAAAATATTCCTAATCCAGCATCTACAAATCGTCTAAGAGAAATTAAGTTATTTGCGATATTTTCTGCAGATAATACGTTCGTTAATTTTATTTTGCTAAGATTTGATTTTAAGTAAAGGTCACCGACTCCATCTATTACTATGTCAGCTGACTTATTTTTATTTGCACTTTTAATTACCTCGCCTGTGCAATGTTTAAAATTACTCAAAATCAAACTCTTGTTAATTATATGCTCAGTTGCGCCTGAGTCCGCAATAAACGTAATATTATCTACATTATTTATATATTCAAAATTCATACCTGCTTGTCGTGCTTGTGGTTTCTTTTTATCTCCATCCTTTGGTGGGGCTGCTTGCTTTTTGAACGTCTTCGGCTTGGATTTGGTGTATTCTTTGGATTTGCCACCAAAACCTCCTTTGAAGAACGTACCTCTTCTAAAAGCACCTCTACCTCTACCTCTACCACGACCACGACCACGTCTGTAGTCAGACCTGCCTGAATTTTGACTGTCCTCATTTTTTGGACAAGAATTTGTATTGTGATCAGTGATCACTTTACAAATATAACAGTACCATTCACTAGTTGCTGCTAAAGGACACTGTTTGACGTAGTGACCCGTCTTATTGCATCTATAACAGTTGTCATGGTGTGATTTAAACCGTTTTGCTTGGTTTGCCCACGCGTCTTGTTCTTGAGAAGTTTCTGACTTCTTCTCAGCTTCCAACTGCAGCAAATGAGACCTCAATTCAACCAGAGTCATTGATCTGCCTTTAAATTGCCGATGCAATAAATCAGCAGTTCGAGCTTCTGGAATCACCTTACTGACAGCTTGATAAAAAGCTGACCGTTTCTCTTCATCTGTTAGAGGTACTGCGTTATCACAGCTCTCATATTCAACGATGGTGTTGTCGAATTTATTCCAGAACTCATCAATACTCTCCTTTGGTTTTAATCTCATGCCGTATAGCTTCGTTCTAACAGAAGTGTGAGTGACATTCTTTTCGACCCTCTTAGCTTCTTTTAAACTTGTTATTACCATAATAGGGTCTGTTATAGTGAGAACCCTCTTATAGTATTTATCATCTAAATGGCTAGTAATGATTTCTCTTACTGCTTGCTTTCGTTTTGTAATTGTTTGTACATCTAAATTATCAGGACCAATGACCGTTGGGTCAATAACATCTAATAGGTCTTTTGATGATAATTCAGATTTAAGTTTATCCAACCAAATGTTGATGTCACTGTCTGAATTAAGAGTATACTTTCTTGGTACCTGATAATTTTGAGATTTTTTGTTTGATTCTAGTGTACTTTTTAAAGCAGTAATCGAAGCATTAAGAGCCCTAGTTACTTCTATGTTCATATCTTGCGGGCTGGATTGACCATCTATTCCAGCACCCGTATGAGTTGAACTTTCGTCTAGAAAGGTGGTCGAGTTAAGTAAATTACCTCGAGTACCTTGCATTCGAAGCCGTTCTGCCGTCAATAAATTTTCAGATGTCTTATTAATTAGGCTCATCAAGGTTTTCATTGCCTCAAAACCTTTGTTTTGAAGCTCGATGTTTTCGCGCTGTTTACACAGGAACTGTAGTAGTACTGCCTGTTGAACTGGTTGTACAGTCTGTTCAGTGGTAGGGGTACTACCACTGCTGCTACTCGATTGAGTTGTTGTGGAAATCGGTGGGTTTCCAATGGTGCTTGACAGAGTTGTTGGTGTACTCGTCTTAAAAGCAGCAATTGGCTGAGTCATTGGTGTACTCATCTGACTTGCAGTAATTGTTGACTGCGTAGTAATTGAAGAAGTAGTTGTCGACATTGTTGGGCTTTCAGATACTCCAGGCCCTTTATAGATAAAATAATTTTATTTTTAGTTTGGATTTTATTTTACGATTAATTTAATAAACGTAACTTCTAATCATCTATAAAACTTCTAAACATCTACAGAACTTCTAAACATCTATAAAACTTCTAAACATCTACAGAACTTCTAAACATCTATAAAACTTCTAAACATCTACAGAACTTCTAAACATCTATAAAACTTCTAAACATCTACAGAACTTCTAAACATCTATAAAACTTCTAAACATCTACAGAACTTCTAAACATCTATAAAACTTCTAAACATCTACAGAACTTCTAAACATCTATAAAACTTCTAAACATCTACAGAACTTCTAAACATCTATAAAACTTCTAAACATCTACAGAACTTCTAAACATCTATAAAACTTCTAAACATCTACAGAACTTCTAAACATCTATAAAACTTCTAAACATCTACAGAACTTCTAAACATCTATAAAACTTCTAAACATCTACAGAACTTCTAAACATCTATAAAACTTCTAAACATCTACAGAACTTCTAAACATCTATAAAACTTCTAAACATCTACAGAACTTCTAAACATCTATAAAACTTCTAAAGTATCATCTATTAATAACTTCTAAAAAATTTGGATCCACTTCTAAAATAAATTTAAAAACAAAATTACCTGTTTTTAAATTTTTGTCTGACGTCTCAGATGGAGTATCTTCAGTCTCGTTATTATCGAGCATTTTTTTATCATTCTGCTCATTATTCATTGTTCCTTTGTTCATATCTTCTATGATATCAGTAAACTTCTAATTATGAACAATCTGAAACATACCAAACTTATCAGAGACTGATATTTCACCCCCATTTACAACTGCACTGCAAGTTGTAAATAAAAGGTGAAATCAGCTGTAACCCCCGCATGCAACAGCATGGCACACGTGCTCCCTCCCACCTCGTGACAAACGGCACAGCTCGTTGAAACGTTCAGGGATGGCCGTACGTACACGTGCGACACACAAATCACACACCAGAGTAACAACCGATTAAATTGAAACAAAGCTTAGTGCTGTACTACAGACTTTACTTTGAGACAATTATTAAATTAGTTATTATTTTTATTTA